TCCTGCTGATCTTCTCTTGTCAGCAGGAGGATCATGATATAACAAGACATCAGTACTAGTCTTGACCACCATCAATAAACAAATGGGATATGATGGCGTATGGTTACTAAACCAATCTTTTAGTATGGGCACTGGTAAATTAGAAGGTAGGCAACAAGGAAGAAGTGAAGTGAAAGGGAATAGGAAATTAGCAATTTTCTCCAATCTTGAACAAAAATGTTTTTAAAGGTGCACCCTATGAAGAATACTCAAGAATGAAGGAATCCCCAGAAATGAGAAGTTATTTAAAAAAAAAAAATTTTTTTTTTTTTGAAGCCACCTTCTGACTGCTAATGTTAAGGGTGCCATGGTTCAGGGAATTTCATTGCTTTCTTCGTTACATTTTTTCCTTGGCATAGGAGAGACTATATAGAAAGTAGCCTTTTTAGGTTTGGACCTCAGAGTTAGCATGTCTTACCAATTGTAATACCTATCTAGACATAGAGAAAGATAAAACCAAAGCTGAGATTGAGAGATTAGTACTAAAATCTGGGAAGAATTTCTCAAATTGAAACTCTGACATGGATGGATTGAAGACCATAATCTCTAGGTGTACCTTTCTCTGAAGAGTAATTCTGGGAGTAATGTGTGTGCCCCAATATAAGGCAACCCTCCTATCCCCACATTCCCCCCAGTGAAAGATGCGAATGTTCAGAAAAAAATTATAACAAAAGCAATGTGATTTGCTATACAGGATACAAAGATGTGTTATAAAACTACAAGTTTAAATACTTTGGACGATGCTTCTCTAAATGCAGATATTTTAATTCTGTGAATCAGGAGGATTCTAAATTCCAGTTGTCTCTGGTGTCTTAGTTTCTTTCAGAAAAACCAGGCTTATAGATTTACCAGTAGAGCACAGAAGTCATGAATTTTAGAAGTTACCCCTTATGTTTATAGTGCTAATTCTACACAGCAGGTCAGCTCATTCAGTTTAGTTATTAGGTGAGCCTCTTGCCACTATTTTATCTTTCAGCATACACTATGAAATAATAATGTTTTCTGGGTGGTTGTGTGGTTTATTAGTTTTTATTAAATAAATTTTTTTTTCTAAATTACCATAATGCTTAACTTACACTCTGATATCTTTTGAGGAGAATTTTGACTTTGCCAGTGGGCTTCCTTTGACCCACATGCAAGCATTTACATTCAGGCCAGTCACCCTCTCGGGATGTTTTATTTTTCCTTAAGAGGATTTCAGTCTCTCCTCAAGCTCCAAAGCATCTGTCTCTTTGCCAGCAGTTCTCCAACCTAGGGAAATTATTACAGTGAGTGATCCTTGAGAACTTATGGAGTATAGAAGCAAACACCTTAGGCAAATAAGAAAACTGTTACATTTTTAGTAGCTTTATGTTCTCGTTTGTCAACTCAGAGGCTAATGAAAAGTGACAAGGATGTGTATGACATTTAGTGTTAATAATAAGGCTGATAGTGATTAGACAATAAAAGCCATTTCCCTTAAGGAAAATCCCTCTTAGTTCCACCAAGAGAAATCTTTTGTAATGGTAATTTTATATGCATATAACCAATATACTGTAGCATGTATTAGGTATCTTGCTAATACTACTCTCCTCAAAATTGAGTCACTCAAACTAACAACCATTTATTTAGCTCATAATTCTGGATTGGCTGGGAAGTCTTTTGATCTTGGCTATCTTTGCTGGTCTCATTGTTGTTCATATTGCTAGTTAGTTGGTGGATCAGCTAGGCCTACTGGTTTATGATGGCCTTAGCTGAGACAACTGGGGCCTCTATTCATGTAGCCTCTTATCCTCCAACAAGCTAGTCTGGACATCACATATTGGCAGGGTTTCAAAGAGCAGCAAGGAAGGGCAAGCCCCAGTACACAAGCGTCTTTCAAGCCTCTGCTTGTGTCATATTTGCTCACTTCCCATTGACAAAAGCAAGTCACATGGCCAAGCTTAGCGTCAGTGAGAGGGCACTCAAAGCTACAGAGCAAGGGAGCATAGATACAGGGAAAGGAGGAATTTATGGCCATATTTGCAGTCTACCATGTAGAATAATACACTGTACTTGTCAAGGAGGATAGGCATAGAACCTGCTGGGATTCAGTATTTTTCAGGAACTAAATCGAAAACAAATTATAGTTACGTGGGCTGGCCAGAGGGTTGTTAAGACTAGCGATGTCAAACTGGCAGATGATAAGAAGTAGGTTTTATTTGTTCTATACCATGTTTAAAAACTTTTCTTTTTGAACCACATTTAAAATCCAGATATTTTGCATAAAATCTGAGTACAGACTTTTAAAAAAAGAAACAAAAATTGTCAAGAAGTGCTATTTTACAACATCAGAACATTTCACTTTTGTCTGTTTTCTTTTACTCACACGTACGACACCAGATGTGTGGGTTTTCCACACCAAGCAATTTTCCAGTTCTCTGCAGACACCAACTGGGTGTTCTACAATTCAATTCAGTTCTGACACCAACTACCTGGAATTAGTGTAGACCCCACAGGATTCCCTACAAGATTGCCCCACACTTCTGACCCCAATCGCAAGTTGCAGGCTGCCTTCTGTACTTCTGACTAACTGTAAATTGGGGCTTACCATAACCTCCCTCCTCAAGTTTGATAATGTGTTAGAAGTGCACTCAGTACTCAGGGAAAATAGTTTACTTACTATTACAGGTTTGTTATAAAAGATACAACTCAGGAATAGCCAAATGGAAGAGCCTCATGGGAGCCTCCCAGCACTTCAGTGTTTTCACCAACCTGGAACCTCTCTGAACTCTATCATTTAGGGGTTTTTATGGAGATTTCATCACATCATCAGTATTGATTAAATCATCTTTCATTGGTGATTAGCTCAGTCTTTAGTCCATTTCCCCTCTTGGAGGTTGGACTGTGGGGCTAAAGTACCAGTCTGTGGCCTGTTAGGAACCGGGCCACATAACAGGAGGTGAGTGT